TGTGAAACTTAGAACAACTTCTCACAGTGGAAGTAAAACTTGTTTGAAACTTAGAACAACTTCTCACGGTGGAAATACAACTTGTATGAAACTTAGAACAATTTCTCACAGTGGAAATACAACTTGTGTGAAACTTAGAACAACTTCTCATAGTGGAAATACAACTTGTGTGAAACTTAGAACAACTTCTCACAGTGGAAATACAACTTGTGTGAAACTTAGAACAACTTCTCACAGTGGAAATACAACTTGTGTGAAACTTAGAACAATTTACTCAATAGTTTCGGCTTTAAAAAAATCATAGAAATTTTAATTTTTCTAACACTTTTTATACTGTGAAATTACTAAACTTTTGTTCAAAGACACCTTTTCGAAAGTCAGTAGCGATATTACGACAAGTTGTAGTAATTAGTAACGATAGTTAGTGAGTGTAAGTAACCTTTGAAAACACATAATATATATTTAACCTTTATATGTCTCTTCATGACTCAAATATTGATGTAATTAACATTTTTATTTTAGTTTTTAGCCTTTTCTGCCGACAAAAAAAGGAATAAATAGAAACATTAATCACTAAATGCAAACTTATACAACAGTTTATCAGTATATTTATATGATATTTTCCCCCCTACAGTTTGGAATCTTAATTTAAATATTATTTTGTAAATGGAGAAAAATGTTGAACAAAGAACAACAACGTGGACGTATCATTCTGCCCTGAGCAGATTAACGAAAATGTCATTATACCACGAAATACTTCGAAACCAGAAAGAATAGTCGAAAAATGCGACATTATCTTCTTTCACCTGCTATCTAAATGCTCTTTACTTAGCGCGGGTGTCGTTCTAAAAGCGCTCTCCTCGTGATTAGCCTCTGATAATGCTAGAGAGGAAGATCGGTGGATGTTATGATGATACGAGCATTGTAATCTCCACCGCAGTCTGAGATCCGCTGACAAACAAACAGGATGAGATGACAGGAAGATCAAGAACTTTTTTAGGCATAGGTTATAGGTCATGAGCGTATTCTTTGGATGCGGTTGTTTTAGTGGATGTCTGACGAGCTTCATCGGTTAGTCTCTCCAGTCTGATGCACACTACTAAATTATAAACTAGATAACAGCTCTTCATGCATAATATATTTGTAGCGCCTGAAACACAGACGTCACAATAGAATTCATTATACTGTTTTTTTTTTTTATGTCCTAAAAGTCAGAGATGTATTTACTCCAAGGGAAACCGTGACAGAGCACAAACTGGATTTATTGTTAACATAGAACAGCGTTTGTATCAAACATACTGTTGGTGTGAATGTGCTCTGTAGTCACTATGATAAAAACCTATACACTAGATAGGTAAAGTGAAGGAACAATGTCGTTGTCCACTATTTAGTTCAACACGTTATATAGCTGTACAATAGCAGATATAATAGATAAACTTAGTATTCCGAAGATTGTTTAATTTCGAAGTCTAAGTTCAAGGGAGGTCCAGTTCAATCTACATTTTGATGAACGTGTGTTATTGGGTTATACTAGTTTCGGAGAATTCTACTCCTTATCAGTAACCTTTTATGAAGTTTTTATTTTCAACACATTGTTGTCCTAACCTAATACATAATGAGTTTTTATTTTCAACACATTGTTGTTCTAGCCTAATACATAATGAGTTTTTTATTTTCAACACATTGTTGTCCTAACCTAATACATAATGAGTTTTTATTTTCAACACATTGTTGTTCTAGCCTAATACATAATGAGTTTTTATTTTCAACACATTGTTGTCCTAACCTAATACATAATGAGTTTTTATTTTCAACACATTGTTGTCCTAACCTAATACATAATGAGTTTTTATTTTCAACACATTGTTTTCCTAACCTAATACATAATGAGTTTTTATTTTCAACACATTGTTGTCCTAACCTAATACATAATGAGTTTTATTTTCAACACATTGTTGTTCTAGCCTAATACATAATGAGTTTTATTTCAACACATTGTTGTCCTAACCATCTTCTGTACGTTCACGTGTATCTTGTTACCAGTTGTATTTTGGGTTTTAATTAAACCAGGATTTAATCACAGTAGCTGCTTCGTGACAATAACAAAAGAACGAAGTTGAAGGAACGTTTCTTCTGGTTTTTTTTTACGTAAAGACAATGTTTTAATTTTGTTATGAAATATTGTTCTAAGATGACTAAAATGAAGTGTTCTGCATAAATTAAAAATTCATTTCGTACTTGTCTTTAAACGTGTTTACAAGTTTATATTTATTTTCATATCTTCAATTTGCCCTTTGATAGTGTTTGTTTGTTATTGTACACAAACATGCGCAAAGTGCTATCTCTTCTGTGCCCGCAGCGAGTATCGAGGCCCGAGTTTTAGTGTTATAAGCACTTAGACTTACCGCTGAGCAAATTCAATAAAAACTTGAAAGATGGAAGTAGCCAAAAAACAAACTTGAATCGTCAAATTTGAAATGGAATATTCAATAAATTTTTGTGCTTCGTATAAATATTACGCATTCGCTATCGTTACCGAAACCGTTTCGAAATCTTTGCTATACTTACCGGTAACAAATCGGTATATAGCTTGAAATCCTTTAGAACCCGAAGAAGTCTTATTTGTATGGAACTCTATGGTCATCCATGGTCCATTAGACATCAGTTTTGGAGGAACGGTTTTTCCACAGAAGTTTCTAATTTTGTCTTTCTGCCCATTAATCTTTACGAACGTCTCAACCACGTCCACTCCTTCGCAGCTACAAGCAGAAACAAATAAAATAACCAGAAGCTTACAGAAAACAAAGTTAATCCACTTTCTTTACACAATATCATGTAAATCCTGCATTTACAGTTAATTATTCTAAAATCTCTTTAGTCCAATATTTAACCAGAGGGTGGTGCCAGTTGCATGTTTTACCTTCTTTCCTCGGTAAATAAACGCCTCTCAGTGGCACAGCAGTATGTCTGCGGACTTACAATGCTAGAATCCGGGTTTCGATACCCGTGATGGGCAGAGCACAGATAGCTCATTGTGTAGCTTTGTGCTTAATTAGAAACAAACAAACAGTAAATAAACATCTCGTTTCGTTTTTTATTTAATTTCCCCAATTCTCCTGAAAATTGTACGGAATATACACTATGGTATGGGAAACCCAACAGTTATTGGCCAGTCCAAAACTAAAAAATAAAAAAAAATAAAAAAACGAGAGAAGGATATACGGTGATTTTGATGATTTTCTTTAGCGGTAGAAGGGTTATTTTTTTTTTTTTACTAAACTTTTCCTGAGGTTATGACGCTATTGTAATGCAATATGTATAAAGATTTCCTCAAAGCCAGTAGTTATCTGGAATTGTAATCATAGCCAGGAATTTTTTGGTCAAAACTACAAAAAAGCATCACGTTCAAAACTTACTTGCGTATATAAGGCAGGAACGTGCTCGATGTGTTACCAGTGCAGCAGACGTGGATGGCGACCCTGAAGGGATACCAGTTGCAGGAAAAGCAAACCGTAAAGGAGACCGCAGAAAATTTTCCATTGATGCTAATAAATATATCAAACGGCCAAAGAGAAGTACGCCTTCCTACAGATCGAGTTTGTTTGCTTGTTGTTGTTTTTATGTGGAGTAAAGCCACATTGGACTATCTGTTTTGTCCACTGTGGGGAATCGAACCTCGGATTTCGCCGTTGTAATTCCGTAAAATTATCGCTGTCCCACTGGGGGATTTCATCGGAAGACAGGTACGACTGGAGGGAATGAGAGGGGTTTAACTCTGGGGAGATAACAAACCACTACGACCACTATAGCCATAAAAAAAATCCAAGTATAGTGCTCACCACATTAAGACTTACAAATCCTTATGTTTTAATCAAAATTCTCAAGATTTCTGGACCTTATATGGAACCTACAGTGTAACCAAAATTGGCTCAACTGGCTCAGAGAATTTCCAAATGTTCAATGATTCTCTGTAAAGAGCTTCGAACGCATTGTAAATTCATGTTCGCATAAGATGAAAAATATGTCGTTACAAAACCAAGAACACCTAAGGCCTAAAAGGTTTTTTAAAAAAATATTTTTTCTTTACACAGCTGAATTATGCGTGGTATGACGTTTGCACGTGCAGTCCACGGAACCAACGTTTGAAATAATTCGTGTTTACTTAGTGCGCTTGTACGCAGCTGATGTTGTCAAGCTGCTTTTGTTGTATTAGCGCAAAGCTACACAGTTGATTATCAGCGTCTCGTCCAACGCGGGGAATCGAACCCCGAATTTTAGCGTGCAAGTCCCTAGTCTTACTGCTGACTCAACGAGGTACTGTTGGCAAGTTAATGGAAAAAAAAATTTCTAGGGTGAAATTGTAAACTGTAATGTGAGGGGATATGGATGTCTTAGAGGTCATCATGGGGGATTTTTCGTAACGCTTCAGAAAAAAAAGGAACCTAACTGTTCAGCGATTCTCTGGGGTTATAAGACTGAGTAAAGGAATTCTTTTAATATAGATATCTTTTAAGTTTGTAAGTTGATATTTGAATACACCTTGATGAGATTAGTTAACATTAAATATAACACATAAAATCTCCGAAATTTTAATGAATCAGGAAAACAATTTTATAACTAATTAATTAATTAATACTTAATCATTAACATCCATAAAATATTAATAATTTACAAAAGGCAGTTTGAATCTTATTACAGTCATGTCCGGAAAAATGAACAGATTTCCGGATAAATGAAATTCAAAAATGTAAGTTTGAAAAGTTAAACTCAGAGCATAAGAGTGATGAAAAATGTTAAACAATATTTTAATTTTGTTTCTATATAATCGCCCCCTAGTGGCCCAGCGGTATGTCTGCGTACTTACAACGCTAGAAACCGGGTTTCGATACCCCTGGTGGGCAGAGCACAAATAGCCCTTTGTGTAGCTTTGTGCTTAACTACAAACAAACAATTCTATATAATCCTGCATACAATGGGGTGTCACGGCCACCTGCTGGCAAAATTGTGTATTGTTGTCCTTTGGTAAATAAGTATACCAAAAAATACAGCAATGAAAAGTTTTAACATCGATCACATTGAACTCAAATGTAATATATTAATATTATTGAAATACCACTATGTAGGTTTTTGTCTTTGTTGTTTTTTTCGTAACTAATAATTTTAAATTAAGACAATTAAAAAATGTTTTGAAATCTTCTTTGTACTCGTTAGGATTAGAGTTTGTTGTTTTTAAGCCTAAATTAATTTATAACATCTTCCTTACAAGGTGCCCTATTTAAGGATTCTTTACCATTGTTACTTACTCTCTGCTAACTTTGCTGTGTAGAGGTTGGTGGAGATCAAAGTCGATGAAAATTATTTGGACTCTCTCCCGCCCTCTACCGGCGAAATGGTAAACACACTTGACCCCGCTGGGATAAGGTTCCGGGTAGTAAGGGCTATCGATGGTTCCGTTTTTAGAAAAAGCACTACTGATCCATCTATCACAGTGTACACCTGAGAAAAATAACGAAAATAACGTGTTATTAACTTTGAAAACAATAAATAATAGCAAACACAATCAGTAACCAGTTATGAAACAGACAGTTGTACAAACGAATATTTGACTTCAAATCTTCAAATAAACTTAATATAACAATAATTACATTTTTGGATAATAATATCGTTGGCACAGTAAAGTTCGAAATATTTAAAAAAAATAGAATTCATAAGTAAACTTAACTGACCAGAAAAGAATACCTGTCCAGCAAGACAAGGTATTGACATACCAGGAGACAACGCCTCAAATGAATACCTGTCCGGCAACATTAAATATTGACAAAGTTACGGACAACGCCTCAAATGAATACCTGTCTGGCAACATTAAATATTGACAAAGTTACGGACAACGCCTCAAATGAATACCTATCCGGCAACATTAAATATTAACAAAGTTACGGACAACGCCTTATATGAATACCTGTCCAGTAGAATTAAATATTGACAAAGGCAACTTTCGAGTAGCTTAACATATTAGATACTAGCTGGGGTACAGGTCCCCTTGAGACGGAAGTTATGTAATTGTAAAAAACGCCCAGAAAAACTGCAAAACTTAATATTTGTATGTACCCTTGAATTGACCTAATGAGCCCCCATACCAATTTTGATGAAGATCTATCCACACCCTACGAAGTGGTTACATGGACGTACAACAGACACTGTCTATATAGATATTACTACAACACACGTTGCTATTTAACTTCAGAGACGAGTAGGGGGCACAAATATTATGTTAATGAAGATAGAAATAACAAATTAAATGGTAAAAATATTAATACTTTAATCTAAATATCCAAGTTAAAAAAAAAGATAAATCTTCTACTAAACGTACCACGAGCCGTGCCTAACGTAACCCGACTTTAACAGACAGACAGATAAAAGAGAGACACAGTATCTTTTGTTGTGATTTATGTACAGTAACAAGAAACCATTAATTTTACCGTTACTTAATTTGGCAAGGATCTAAGTTGACTGGATATTTAGTAAATATCGGAAGTGCCGTCACACATTTAGTAAATATCGGAAGTGACGTCACACATTTAGTGAATATCGGAAGTGACGTGAAATATTTAGTAAATATCGGAAGTGGCGTCACATATTTAGTAGATATCGGAAGTGACGTGAAATATTTAGGTTTGTTTTGGTTTTGGTTTGAATTTCGCACAAATCTACACGTGAGCTAACTGAGCTGGCCGGCCCCAATGTAGCAGTGAAAGATTAGAAGGAAGACAGCTAGTCATCATCGCCCACCACCAACTCTTGGGCTAGTCTTTTACCAACGAACAATGGGAATTACCGTCACATTGTAACGCCCCCACGGCTGAAAGGGCGAGCATATTTGGTGGGACGGGGAGTCGAACCCTCAGATTGCGAGTCGAGCACCCTAACCATCTGGCCATGCCAGGCAACATATTTCGGTACCACGAACTTTATTCTCAAAATTTCGAGTTCTTAAGACTAGGTTAAGCCTGTTAATAACACCACAAAATGTATTATATCCTCAAGACTGAGTTAAGCCCGTTAATAACACCACAAAATGTATTCTATCCTCAAGACTAGGTTAAGCATAAAAACAGTAGAACATAGACAGCATAATAACAGCAAAACATAGACAGCATAAAAACAGTGGAACATAGACAGCATAATAACAGCAAAACATGGACAGCATAAAAACAGCAAAACATAAAGAGCATAAAAACAGTAAAATATAGACAGCATAAAAACAGCAGAACATAGCATAAAAACAGCAAAACATAGAGAGCATAAAAAGAGCAAGACACAGACAGCATAAAAACAGCAAAACATAGACAGCATAAAAACAGCATAACATGGACAGCATAAAAAGAGCAAGACATAGACAGACTTCCAGTCGACATAGAAATACATCGGTAATAAGGAAGATGAGAGGCACACCTTTATGTTGAATTCAGATTAAGAATAAAAATTATCTATGTATATACGTGTTTCTAATCTTCCTAACAGTATCGCTAATGAGGCCCTTAGGCTATAAACGTTCACAATCACGTTTTTATACGTTCCAAAAGAGTAAAAAAAAATACATTATCATGAGACATTATTGATTTAAGAACCATCAGGCCTAAGACGAGGAAATAGATGTTACTTAATTCTAACTCAATCTTTGTCTGTTTGCGTATCTTCTGTTAAGACTACTCTCTACAGAATGTTTGTCCTTTGGAAGGTTTGAAACTACGATCATATTTTAGATTTAACCTTCTGTAAATATCTCTGTAACTAGAAGAATTAGAGTCTGTATTTGTGTTTTGGTCTGAACAACACCTTTTTTTTATGCTACTCAGGAACTATAGTACTAAATGACTAGGTCAGCAATTTCTATATATGTTTCAGGTGTAGCCATTCCTAATTTAGTGGCAGGATTTATAACAATCCCAAACTAAAATGTGAGTTTTTTCAGCAGCATCTACCGGCTCGAACCTTGGATAATTCAATCTTCAGCCCGGGAAACTAACCCTTAGAACACAAAAAGTACGAATTAGAAGAATTTTAGTTTGTTTTATTCAAGTTGAAAAACAGAGGAATAAGCAGTGAATAAAATATAATACAATAATACATAAAAAAATGAAAATAATTATAACTGACTTCAGCATGAGTCAATGCTAACAGACCTCTTATAGAGAAATATCAGATCCTGCGGCAACCAATACTCTCTAATGATCCTAGGCCAGAAAATAGTAACTTAGTAATTGTTGGTATTACATAAATCTTTAGGCTAAGTGAAAATATTAAGCAAAACTATAAAATACCTCTCTTCGGTATAAAAAAAATGTCAGTTTTCCTCACTCGAGAGAACATAAATTGAGGATCGATTTTTTGAAAATCAGCGTGAAAAAAATAAAGCATTTTAGGTTCTCTGTTAGTGATGAAACACAAATAGCCCTTTGTGCTTAACAACCAACCAATAAAAAACAACAACAAACACACAAGGAACTACAATTAAAAAAGCTGTCGTAAGTCGTAAAACAAAGTATATGAATAAAGAAAAAAATTAGGAAAATCAAAACCTTTTTAATACAAAGTTCCATTAATTTTTGATACATTGTTTGTTTGTTTGTTTGTTTGTGAATTTCGCGCAAAGCTACACGAGAGCTATCTGCGCTAGCCGTCCCTAATTTAGCAGTGTAAGACTAGAGGGAAGGCAGCTAGTCATCACCACCCACAGCCAACTCTTGGACTACT